AAGAATATGCAAACATACAGGAAAGAGATACAGAACAAGTTCAAAACTGTAGTTCCCTCTGGGAGAGAAGGAAGAGGAAGAGAATTGAGGAAGATTCATACATTCATAGGAGGCTTCAATTGTACCTGTTTTTTTTTTTAAGTCTGAATCAAATACGGAAAAACTATGAAGACATTAATCTAGTGGGAAGTGCATGGGTGATGGCCATATTGGTCTCTGATATAGGAATAATGTAATATTCATTCTTTATAACAAATATATTTTAAATAATTAAAAAACTCTGGCCTTGCTTCATTTTTACATTTTGAATATCAGAGCTATTGACTCTATTTTGACTCCCTTGTATATATTCCTCATTCTTCTTAGGATCATAGAAATCAACCAAGATATTTACTAAGTGCAAATGGAAGGATACTTGAGAAACAATTTCTTTTAAATGCCAAGGGAAGCCCTTACTTGAGGAGAGAAGTAACTCAAAGGGGGTCGGTCCTATTTTGGAGAATCAGATCTTCAGTATTCTCAAGATGTGAGTTCCAAGAAGAGAAACTTCACCTCTTTTTATATTGGGATTCACAGATTCTACTCCACATATAAAGAATTTTTTAAATATCAGATCCTAAATTCTTGAAAAAACTATCAAGTCTCAGAACAAGGCTTTATGAAATAAAATGCACATAAGAAAACAGCAGCAAAAGAAAAAACATATGCTCTTAGGTTTTATTGCTTAACCTATGTTAGTACCAAAAAGAAAAGAAGTCCAGTTTCATTACAGTTATATTCACAGTAATCCCAGCAGGAATGTGAATAAAATGAATAAAAAAGCCACAAATGAAATGCCTGTGTACCCTGGGAATAATTGCTCAGTCAAAATGTTCCAAAGGCAGTTTGCCAAATAAAAGGATATACTGGGCATCAAAAGCTTAAACCAGCATTTTACTACAATTACTGGCTTTTCTCCACACTTCTGCCATCTTTCTACCCAAGTTATAGTTGAATCACTACATCTAAATTAGACACTGGGTTTCCTGTAAATTACAAAATACTATGACTGATAAGAATAGGAGAAAAGCTTGCAAAATACATCTTTTACATAGAGTGGGAATAGCATGAGGCCAGCAACCAACTATTACCATCCTGCGAACCTGGACCAATCACTCAGCATTCCTGGGTTCAGTTTTCATATTTGTAAAATGAGTTTGAAAAATAATACCTGATTAACTAGAGCATACAAGCAATTTTTCTAATGTTAACTAACATGGGTTTCTTCTTATGCAAACTGCCTGTTAATATTTTGCACCTCTTTTTGTATTTTGTATTTGCCTATTTTTGCCTCTTAGCTTGTTTTATTGATTTATAGGGGTTCTTTATATATTCTGTATACTTAACCTCTGTCAGATAAATGTCAGTCTTTCCATGTATATGGACTTTGCTGTGAATAGTCCATTATTTGCCCAGTTCTTTATTTTGGTATTTCTTTTCTTCATGAATATGCAGTAAAGCTAAGTGGATGCTAATTATTTTTCTTTTAATGGTTTGCTTGCTTCTGCCAAGTTGTACCTTGATTTTGTATTTTGTAAATATTTTTTAAACAATGCACACACATATAATACTACACTTTTATTATAAGTACTTGATAACAGACTTGAATATGGTAGATGACAACGTAAGTGTGATGGTAATAGTACCTGCCTAACTACCTCATAGGACTGCTGTGTCAGTTTTATGATGCAACATATTTTGCATATATATAACATGTAACCCATGACAGAAAAATCTCAGAAAAGTCACTCCAACTCCACCACTAAAGAAGACATTAGAAAAACGACTCATGTGCAAAATTCTCATTTAATTAATAATAATCTGAAAGTTCTCAGGAGTCACCTCCAACCTTAACTTATGGCACTCCAATGGGAGATCTGCTCAACCCAGGGATTCCCTATTGGAGCTTCCTCTATAAAAATGTCACTTGTAATGGATTATACCCTCAATCCTACTATTTCACAGGATGAGAGGGGAGCTTTAAGAGCCTATGATTAAGAATAAGACAAAATTTCTGCCCTTTATTATATTTCACCAGCCCACTTGTACATGTACTTAGTAACATTTTATGCAGTTCCCTACATAATTTACATCTTCCTCATGTACTCAATCCCCTTTAATAATGTGACCCAGATTAATACAGTCCTAAAGACTAGGGCAGCAATGACTTAAAGACTTCACACATAAATTTAAGAAAATGAAACTTTCATATATTGGCTCCCTAAAGATAACTTAAGTCAGAAAATAGACACTGCAGAGTATGCTAAGCAGAATAACAGTTCCCCACAGATACCCTTGTCTTAATCCCCAGAGTCTGTGCGGATGGTACTTCACACGACAAAGGAGACGCACATGCCAGTAAGATTAAGGACCTTGAGATGGGGGTGAGTAGCTTGAATCATCCAGCAGGGATTGATCTAATCATAAATCCTCAAAAAAAAGGGAAAGAGTCAGAAGAGTGGATCAGAGAGATGTGAGATAAAAAGGATGTGACCCACTGTCACTGGTTTTGAAGAGGAGGAAGGGGGCCGTGGGTCAGGAGAAGCAGCAGCCTCCAGGGGCTGGAAAAGGCAAGTCAACAGATTCCCCTGGAGAGCCTCCAGAAGGAGCACAACCCTGCCAACACCTTAATTTTAGCCCAAGAGACCCATATTGGAATTCCAACCTATGAAACTGTAAGATGATGAATTTATGTGGTTGTAATTTGTTGTGGCAGCAATAGAAAATGACTCAGAGCACACCCAGCTTATTTACAGGAAAACAAAGTGGTTAGAACAGCCACCGTGGAACCCAGCTTCTGACCTGAAATCACACTTCTACCACTTGTCGGTTTTATCAGCTTGAACCGATTATTAACCTCCCTATGACTTGATTTTTTCATCTGTAAAACAGGGCTAATAAGAGTACCTATTTCCTAGGACTGTTGAAGGATTAAATGAGCTCAAGCATTTATTCATGTAAAGCACTTAAAATACTGCCTCATGTAAAGTAGGCACTAAACACATCTTAACTACTGCTATCGTTGACTTTAATCAATAGTATTTCAACTACCTTCTTTATCAGTCACTCACAGGAAAATCATAGGATTAACAGTCTTCAAAAATAGTCAAAGAAATGAGCCCTTCTAAAAAGAAAGGTCTGTACACATATCTACAAGTGGTCCCCATATGCTCCCAGCTCCCCTAAATTACCATGCAGTTCTTCAAGTCATTCCTGATAGTGAACAGATTACCAAAGTGTCACCATGAACGCCACTAAATGATAAATGCTAACTATAGGGTCTGACAGAAAAACTGCCCAAAGAGTAAGAGCTATCTTATTAAAAATAATAGACGTAGCAAAATTAGTTTCTAGTGAAATGTCGTAATTGGCATCTTTCCAGATTATTTTCCAGTTATATAGCACTTCTCACTTTCAAAATGCCTGCCTATCGTTCCTTTATAAACAATTAAAATTTTTGCTTCTCTTGGCCATTGACTCAGCAACATTTACTTAAACTAATACAACCAGACTAAGCAATGAGGATTCACATTATAAAAACACCAGATACAACAACTGGTAATTTCCACAAAAGGTAGAGGTCAAATACAAATCATAAGTATAAATATATATTCTGTTCCATAATTCCTCACCCTAACAGTTCAAAGCAGTGTCAAAACTCAATGAATAGCAACACTACCTCAACAACATAGGATTGTTGTTGGGAGAAACAACAAAAAGAGAAAACAAACCTTTTAAGTCCAAGAAGAGCCTTGAGTACTTGTGTGTCAAAAAAAAATAAGTGTTCAGTTTTTGTTTTTGTTTTTAAGTCAGTAACTAAGTAGACTAACAAAAAAATCTATTATAAAACAATTCCTACATTTTTCCTACAGTAAAGGCAATAAACTTCAAGCTTCCAAGCCTAAATAACTCTAAAATTTAATTAAATGATATTTTTTAAAAGGTAATTAAATATGCCCCAGCAACAACGATATATTGTTAGGTTCTCAAAAGAAATACTTTTAATAATTCACATAAAATGAATTGATTGAATCTGAATTATTTTACTGCCTTTCCATTACTTTACACTCTACAAGACTATAGACCTGATAAAAACTATAAGAACTAATTCTTAGCTGAAAAGCCAATGATAATCGACATTACTATTTAAAAGGACTGAGAACTTTAGCTATCACATGAAGACACCTGTGGGATATCCCGTGAAAAACATCCAGTCTTCTCCCCAGCCCAAAGCTGCAACATACGAGCAGCTCTCTGCAGACGCCCAGAAGCACTCTGAGCCATACTGAGCTGAGCCCTCTGATGGTGCAGGTCTGAGCCATTCCAGAAACTCCCCTCAATCTCTGCATCCAGATTCAAAGTACACCCTCCCTCCCCAACTTGAAATACAAGCCAAAATGCCTCACCTTTGTTATAGTCAACCGAATACGAGGTGGCCCAAGAAGAAACATGGTTTGTGGATGTGCGTCAAAGTGCCCTACGTGAGTACATGTGTACACACACCTGCAGGCACCTGGGGAGGTGGAGGCACCACCAGAAGGTCCAGGGAGTTTGGATATACAAGACAGTCACACACTCAAAAGCTCTCAAAGACCACACAAGGAATGTACTTTTTGCAGCAGGTGGGTAAAAGTTTCTAGGAGCTTTTTATAGAGAAAAAAAAAGCAAAAAGCATTCAAATTCAACTTCAGAAAAGCCAAACAGTGCTGGCCAAATACAGCACCGACATCTGCATTCAGGACACAGGCCGTATTCTGCTTCGAGTTTTCAACCTGATAACACGACAGGTCCAACCAATCAACATCTACCTTATTCCCTCTCAGGGTGGCAAAGGACTAAGCATCGGCTCCAAGGCACTAACATGAGACCTTCCTCCCCTGGCCCCACAGGCTTCCCTGGGTCTTCCCCCAGAAACTGCAGCAACCAAAAAGAAGCTAAATGGCTGAAGAATTAATACTTACCACCTGAGCTTCCAGGAGTAGAACACTGAGAAGGATCGAGGAATTTTCGAGGAGTTGGAAGGTTTGTAACATCAATCAGAGGCCCAGGCGAAGCATCTTTCACAAGGGAGCTGACGGAGGGGGGAAAGCAGCAGTGGTTACCACCTTCTTCAAAAGCACCTCAAGTCCCACTGCACCCTCATCCCTCATCACTTTCTTTTTGTCATGAGCCCTCTTTACACTATGACTTCAAGTATCTCCCAAGTATACTTGCAGTAAAGTGGTGATTGGTACAGACAGGGGATATAAAGATGTAGTCCGAGGGTTCCAAGTATTTAAAATTGTGTCTTCATTTCAATGCTATGTTTCAAAGAAATTAGTGTAAAGTATATTCTGGATCATCTGAATGACCACCTTATAACCAAATTATGCCATGCAGTTTCACTACCTACCCTTCTTTGTTTCTATAGTAAAATGAATTTATCAGCCAAGAAAGTTCAAATGACTGTATCATGATAACTGAATGAACATTTTATTAAGTACTTCAGCCTAGTTTAACTTGTGTGAAAAACACAGAAACTGGAGTTTTTTGACATATTCTGGGAGTTCACTACATTAAATTTGCTTTAAAAGAAGTTCATAAATTTCATCAAGCTGAGGATCATGACAATAAATGATTTAAGGAAGCTCAAACATGTTAATTCAGTATTTGATTACCCATTTCACCTTTTCCAAAAAGGCCTAGCAGCTCATCTTGGTGATTAACTTTAGAGCCTCCAAAATAAACACATTAATTTTAAATGACAAAAAGACTATAATAAACAATTAAATTTTCAAGTCAATTTCCATTTATAGGCATCTGTTGAATGCAAGAATATAGGAAATGCCAAGACAAATAACACCTGTGCCCTACCTTCAAGAAACTCAATCACCTAAACAGAGTAGTTCTCTAAGTTCCCAGGATAGACAGGTCAGAACCATAGGCCTCACCTCTTTCCAGTCCCAAGCAACATCCCCAGTAGCAGTAACTACCCATAATATGACTCTCAAAGTGGGAGGGCAGGAAGAACAGGGACGAGACTACACCTTCAAGAAAGCTTTCTCCAAATGGGATGGAAAGACGGGTACAATCTTTAACAACATCTCTCCCCTCCCTCATAGAAATATTTCCTATCTCCCCACTACCACTTCCCTTTTGGAGCCAAACTATGAGGTATGTATATATTTTTAAGCTAATAAAAAAATTACATGTTCTTTCAGAAATCTCTCAAAAACTATGTTAATGCATGAAATTATCATATAACGTATTGTTTTTATCGAGTGCTAATATTGTGTGAGCCATTGTCCTAGGCCTTGAGGGTAACTGTGATGGAAATTACCTTTTCCCTTTTCCCTTATACCAGTGAGGGGGAATCATTACTGGAACAAGTCTGCACCATCTGTTGTGAGCTTGGCGCTGAGCTCAGTGCCAAAGAGCTGAGAACGACTAAGCCATGAGCTAAAGCAAACTTAGCATATCCAGTTGTTGGACTCTCTTGCAGACTAGCATGAAACCTCAGGTGAAGTGGAAAACAGAAAAGGAACAGAAATAACATTTACCAGGAATCGAACTGACATAATTCCAATAACTCTTCCTCTCCAGTATAAAGCTACTAGTTCCTATCTGCCTAAACAATATCGAGAAAATCCAGAGTCTTCCAATAAACAGATTTATTATTATAGTTCATCTATTTCTGAAATCAATTAGATCATAGATTTCTCCATTCCTCTTCTATATATTGACCCCTGTTGCCTACTCTTTTCTTTCCCTCAACTCCTTCACCCTCTTTTACCTGCGTTTTACTCACAAATGGAAAACTAGCTCTATATACCTCTTCAGCCCCTGGATACACAGGCCCAAGGAGACAGGGGATAAATCACTTATGTTTATAGTGCTGCTACTGAGTTAAGAAAAAGATAATTTCAGTTTTAAATGATAGGAAAAATATGTAATACATTTTATAAATATTTCCATAACAAATGCGGAGGAGTTTTTTTTTTTAAGCATTAATAAATGAACGTATCAATCAGTAGGAAAATTCAGGTACGTAGCGGGAATACTGCCTGCCAGGCCTCTAAATAAAGAAGTACAGTCAGGACATATCTGTGTGCACAGTGATATGTATATATATGTGAGTATAATACACACTTCTATAAACACAGATGTGCACAAGATTCATATTAGACTAAAACCTGCAATTATTTCCTCAATTTTAGCCTAAAAATATATTTCAGTTAAACATAGGGTGATAAATGGCTTGCCATTTAACTTTGAAAAACATAACCTGCTGACTTTATTATCAGAGCCAGAAGGGCCCTCAAACTCCAGCAATAAACTTTTAGAAAGTCAATTTACTGCAAAACGATTTTCATAGACTCATCCCTCTAAAATTTTCCCGTAAGCTTCAATTTTCTCCTTTGTGAACACTGACCCAAAAGCAAGTAACTCTGGAAATGACTTTTGGTTTTCCTCTTATTCTTGTATGGAGGGACTTCATCTCAAGAGCTCACGAGGACAGGGGCACACCCACTCATTTACCTGCTACAGACATGAAGCTCAACAGAAAGGCAGGAGCTATTACAGAATATCGCATTTAAAGAGAATGTACTTCAGAAAACAGAAAAAGCCTGTTCTCACTATACGTCAGAGATAAAGTTGAGAAAATATTAATTACTAACCTCGAAGGGTTTTCAGTCTCTCAGATGAAGTATTTTTGAGAACCAAAAATAAAAATTAGATTGTTCAAGTTTCTAAGTAATTTGAATACTCTAAACTGTATTTTGAAGGAAATAGTGATAGATGTTATTTTTCTTTTTAAATACATACGACAAATATTTATTTTAAATCTACTCAGAATCACTCACAGCTGAGTTTCAGAAGATAGCTGATATACCTAAAAGTCCTTCCCAGTAAAGATAGTCCCCCCAAAATTATTAGTTGTGTATTGTGACTAAATGTGGCTTGCTATTTAATAACCACATGATGGCAGACAGGAAAACTACAAAGCAAATTAAAATAAACCAACAACCACCACCCCTATCACCATCACCCCCAAGGAACTTCTGGCTGTTAAACATCCATCCAATTAGTTAAGATCCACTTCTAAATGTGTTTGATTTCAGTATTTCAAGCCACAAAAAGTTTTTTTTTTCTTCTCTTAAAAAAGAAAAATGTTAGAAGTGCTAATAGCTTATTAAATATTTTCTTTTTAATTAGAAAATATTTTTTCCCTCACTTAGTCATAATAAATATGTCCAGCTATATCCAAAATTTACAGCAGCAGCTCAGTTGGCTGATTTTATTATCAAATTAAAATTTGACAGAGGTGAACTTAAAGTTGTAAATCTTGTAACTAATATATTCACCTCTATAACCTCAACAGCTGGCGCAGTACCTGCCAAAGAGCAAGTGCTTGTAAAAGTTTGTTAAATCAAACTGAGCTGAGAAGAATCCGTCAAAGATAATGTGCCCTTAGCACGAAAATTTAACTGAGTAATTAAAGAGGAATGGCTGGCATGGTAATTCCCTACAGCTCCAAGATCTGCCTGGACATACAGTAAGAATAATGAATGATTCAGGGGTATGAAAGTCAAAAACAGTCATGGTCTTAAAATATCTGACAGAAAAAAATTTAGAAGACAAAATAGGAAACAAATAATACAAGAACACTCTTTAAACACCCAGAGACAAATATGGACCCCAAAATCTGCAGGCCTGAAATTTTCTCCTCCACAAGCTGGAGGGTCCAAGGAACCAATGTCAAACCAAGTATTACCCAGGATGCGTGCAATAAAAGGATTAACTATTTCTAAAATAACTTTTTGTTGATTTTTATCTGTCAGTAAGGGTACATAGGTTCTTTTTGGAAAATACAAAGATAATAATCTACTAGTATAATTAAATTGTGGTATAATGCCTTCCAAAACATTTAACAGGAAGTCTGTCTGTCCATCCATTAGCGGCCCCCTACACACACATGCACACATTCATACACATTAAAATGTTCACATGCTTTTTTAACATCTTTAGATTACCCTGTACAGAATTTTGAATCCCAGTGTTTCCTTTCAACAGTATTTATTTTGCTATTTCATTAAAAATAATCTTCATACACATCACCAATTTTATTATTAAAGTAATAATATGTGCTCATGATGAATACATTCACAGTGCAGAGGGTATGAAATAAGTCCTTTCCCCACACTCCTCATTTTCCATTTTCCAGAGGTAATTCTTTCTTTTAGTATTTCAGTATACCCTTCCAGGAATTTGCAATACAAATACACATGTTTATATCTATATAGAAAGGACACATATTTAAACATATGTCCTTTCAATTCTCACACAAAGAAGCTAATCCTGTATGTGCTTTTTTCAACTGGCTTTTCTGGACCCAAGAATACATCTTAGAAATCTTCCCCTATTGGCATGAAGAGATCTTTCTCATTCGTTTAAAAGCCTAGTATTAAATGGCATAGATATACCATAATTTATTTAACCATTAACCATACTCCTCTTGAACATTTGTGTATTTTTATTGTTTTTAACACTGGTCTAATGAACATCCACATATGTTTACAATATCACATTATTTTTGTAGGATATGGACGTCGAAAGCCTCCTCTACATACATTTTTTTTTCTAATGCTAATAAAGTTTTATGTGATTTTTTAATTGAGCTAGAATTTCTTGTATATAACAGGTAGACATCTAAATTTATTTTCTTCAAATAGCCAATTGTTTCAACACTAATTACAAAATAGCTTTCATGACCTCCATTGAACTCAACTATGTTAAAAAAAAGTCCCATATATCCTGGGGTCTGTTTCTAAATTCTATTCATTTCACTAATCTGATTTTCTATTTGCATACCTGTACTGTTCTGACTAAAGCAGTTTTACAATATCTTCGAAAATTAGATAAGAAAAGCCTCCTTTATAATCCCCCTTCTAGATTTTTTCAAAACAATTTTTACACATTTATTCTGTGAACTACAGATTGGACAGTTTCAAAAAAACTCAACTGAGATTTAACTGGGACTGACATCTTTATGAGCTAAGAACATGGAAGGCCTCCCCTTTTTATTTAGGCCTTGTTTCATATCCTGCAAATACCATTTTTATTATGTTTTCCCATGTAGGTGGGCATGTAACCCTCATCAATTCTATTAGATGTCTAATTCTACTTCAAAAATATGTTTTTCTTTATATGTATATGGCTTCATGTGATTTTTTTCATTTTCTCCTGCAGTAGAAATTTGCTTTGGGGTGTTTGAGTATTTGTTTTTGAGTAACAACAATTGCAACAGTCTTTATATTTGAAGAGACTCTCCCCTGTCTGGGTCAAAACATAAAAGAAAGAGGGGCCTACTTCCTACTCTAGTTGAAGGAGACCAGACATGTCAAAGGCTCAACAACCTGGGTGCTTCTGCCCAGAACTTTGTATCTTGAGGAGATAAAGATACAGGGATATTTACACGGGGAAGGCAGTACAGCACAGAAAAGCCAAGGAGTGACTCTATAGCATCCTACTAGGCTGATGGACAATGACTGTAATGGGGTATGTCGGGGGGACTTGATAATATAGGCGAATGATTTAACCACAATGCTGCTCATGTGAAACCTTCGTAAGATTGTATATCAATGAGACCTTAATAAAAAATAATAAGTTAAAAAAAAAAGATACAGGGACATTTAGAGGTCATTTACAGGAGAGTTAAAAATCCAGCCGTTGTGGGCATGGTGTCAGCAAGGCAGCAACCCAACCAGACTGCAGCCTCTCTATGATGTGCTCAGCTGCTTCGTCTCCCTTGGTCGTACCCGGTTTTAGAGCCTAATTACACAGACTTCCTTCCCTTAGGTTCTGTGACCCAGCTGATAACTTTCCACTAAATCCTGTTCCTTGTTTTAGTTACCAGGAGTGACCTCTGCCATTTACAATCAAGAACAATGGCTAATACATCACCCTGTGTAATAGAGAATATGTTTTATTTGTTTCTGTATTTAGTGATTATTTAGTATAAAAGTACTGAAATATACATAGCTAGGTTAATAAATGCAAAATAAGTGAATTAAACATTTTCTCTAATTTTTAAAATTCAAAACAACTTATGACTCATCGTAAGCAAGAAGTCAGTGATCCTTTCTTTTCCTGCTTATCAAAATTTCTCAGTCTCTAGCTTCATGTGGGGATATAAATCCTGTCTATTACAGAGTACTCTGACTACATAGCCTTTTTCAAAAACAGTTTCCACTCATATTTGTGATCTTGTAAAAAATATGACCTTGGCTTGATTCCCCAGGCCTCTGAGCCTCCTCCTGGGACCAGTGCCATCATGGCAATGGCAGAGGCGAGAGGGCACACTCAGTAGCACAAGCACACTTCAAACCCCTCCCTGTGCCACAGGTTAAGGATGGGCTAAAGGAAGAGTCCAGAAATCAAAGAGCAGGAAGTACAATTCTCCCACAAAGTGGAGGGGGAAGGAGTGATAATTTTGAATAATCTAATCTAACCTGCTACATCACCTTGCATCTTTTGAGAAACCTCGAGCTTTAGTCTCCTAAATTTTTCCTGTTTTGCTTTAAAAAAATTTTTTTTCAAGTCAATGCTCTTCTATGAGACCTCAAGGTAACACTCATTTCCTACACTATGGAATATTTTCACAGGACCAGAGTATGATTGCCTGGTTTCTTGTTTGTTTTTTAAATCTCTGCATTGGAAGGAATCTATTCAGACCTCCTATTTACCACCAGACACCATGGAAGAAATTTCCTTAGCACTAAACCCCTACTCCCAATTTACTCTCCACTACAGTACTGACAATTATTCTATTCAGATTCAGTGTTGAAATTAAGACGAAGGTACATATCCCTTAGCTCAATTTGTGTGCCTGGTAGAAATTTTTCTAGTGCCCATCTGCACAAAACAGGAACTTCCTTCTCTGTTTGGGTCCCTGACTGAACTAAAGCATCACACACAAAGTTGGCAATTTTTGGTTGAGCAGGACAGTACTTTAAGACTTCATTCCCAGCATGCACTGCTTCTGGCATTCCTCTTGTCTACAGCTGGGTGAAAAAGCATGAACGTGTGTATTTCAATAGACAGAGCTCAACTGCCTTCTGAGAAGACCTTAAGGCATTTTAAAGGAATGTTGGAAGGATATATGACAAGCACAACTATCTGATACATGTTCTACTGTCTTAAAATGTGGTCTTACTCTCTAGCAGCTCTAATTTAATGTATTTCTTGAATCCACCAGGCCTTAAATTTAGGACTATGCTATAGTCAGCCCAGGAGTAAAAGAAAACTGTTCTCACTGAACCTCTCCTGAACTATTCCAAAAAGAGGATTATATGAAGGTGAAGTTGAACACAACCCTAAGGAACAAAGAAATTTTACATCAGGTCCCACATCTGTATTTATTTAGGCTGACTTTATCTAATTTAAGGATTTTTTTGCTCTTCCTTCTGAGATATACCAGAGAATCTCTGATCGAATATCTTAAAGGCCTACAGTAAATATTTCTTATATATCTTAACTTAAGAGGACAATAAATTGCAATGAAGGAATGAACCAACTTTGAACTTCAGCCTTTTAGAACATGGAATATTTGATACTAAAAAAATATCATATAGTTGCAGGTACAGTACCTTAAAAAGAAGCAAAATAAAGTACAGCATTCTGGGAAGCAAATAATATTCCTTAAAATTCTACACTGCCACAAGAGACTGTAGCAAAGAGCCTCTTTAACCAACCTCATTCTCCCTTTTTCCTTGTTTCGCTGCACAACTCGGCTAGTGGATTTGATGTACAGGTGCCGGTGCAGTTCATCTATGAGAACCAAGTGGAGGTTCATCTTCTTGCTGTGAAGCTCCAACCTCAGGTCACTCAGTCCTTCCACCTGGAGCAGGGGGCCCTCCAAAGACTCTACAGCTGACACCTGAAGAGGGAAAATATGATTGTGTACAACTGAATAATCTAACATTATAAATATGAAACACTTTTTTAAAAAATACTGTCAAAAGAGAGTTTATGAGAACCTTATCAGCAAACATGAGACTCTATGGAGTAGAATGTGGATAGACCTAGTTCTGACCCTGCAGGGTTTAACATCTAAAACAATGCTGTCTTAGATAATCTTAATAAAGAGAAATATGAAGGCAACTAAGGCACAACAAAGCTGTACATATTCCTTATTCCCATGCATATCACCTATCAATGGACACAAAATGACTTCCCTGCTTATATCATCCATATCCTCGTAAGAAGGTTCTCAACTGAGAACCATGAACTAGTGATTTAAATGAACTGTTAGTCAAATCTAACCTTTTAAGACTGAGACTAAATAAAAGAACACTATATACGCTTCGCAGGAATTAATTCTCATGGTGGTCCTAAGTTACAGCTTGGTCAGCCTCAGTCTACATATACTCCCAGCCCCCCTACTACAAGCAGACATAGAAGTCATCACCTCTCCATGGCCTGACCCAGTTTGATAAAAGAAGTGGGATTTGGATGGTGAATAGAAGATAAACTATAAAGAGAGATATTCCTGGTCTAAAGTGAAATTTGGGAGATTAAGACAAAAAGGATTGGATGAAAAAAATAGTGTAGAAATGCCGACAAAAAATGGAGAAGGTGAGGGACTCGGGGAACCTGAAACAACTCCCTCTGAAACCAAAATGATAACTGAAAAGGGGAAAAAGAAGACAGTATGTATAATATGATCCCATTTATCTATGCAGACAAAATTATATTCATATCTTTCTGTAGGTACAGGTGTTATTTTTCTTAAACAAAAAATCAAAATGAAGAGTATACGCTAGGTACTATTCCTTGGGAGGAAAATAAAACAGAAACAAAGAATGTAAAAGTAATAATAATAAAGGAAACAACTAGGTGAACTCAGGGATATAAGTCCTACCCAGATGTCTGAAGCGATTAATGTGCTATGACTACTCCCCGCTTCACTTAGACTTCTAAATATTTCTAATATGTACAGATCAGACAGCAACGAATACTACTTCAGCACAAAAACATTAAATGTAATTACGGATACAAACATGCTCCTAAAAAATAAAGCATTTATGCAAAAGCAATAGTGAAAGCCATGAAAGATACCGGTCACCAAAAATGTTGATTACAGAGGTACACAGATATACACAGTCCCTTAGGAGCAAGTAGACAGTGAATACAGAAAGATGGGTGGCTGCCAAATACAAACTGGCCTGAGACGGGGAGGAAAAGGCAATGGCTTATCCACAACACATCACTAGTTTTGTGATATGTTACAATCAAATACTGGTAGCAAACAAGTTTCCTTATGTTAACCAAGGAAGAATCAAGGGAGGAAAGAGTGGCAGGCCCTGGGCCAGCTCTCCCTCCGAAGCCTGCCAGTTCATTTTCACACTGACTTGCAACCGTGCCTGCTCCAAGAGCCCCTGGGCCTTGCGCCAGCTGCCAGCAACTCCAAATGGAAAGGCAGTCTCACAAAATGACCAGAGTGTCCCCAAGGACAAAAAAACAACAACAAATTCATTTACACTTATGCTCTAAAATGGATTTTAACTCGGGTCTCTAGCAGAGGAAAGAGGCTGCATTAACCTTTAATGACATCAAGATCCAGAAAATGAAAAATAATTTGGTAAACCACTGGCCCATCATGTAGCCTTATCCCTTAAGGTAATTAAACCCAGCTGAGATATTTAAGCTTGAAAACCACCCACCGTACTCGGTCTGCTTGTAGGAATCTGCATGAAGATTTTTAACCCAAACAGCTCATGTTTGAATTCAAAATTATATGACAATGTCAACTTTCAAAAAAAACTTAATTTTCTTAAAAACATAGGTACGGAACTTAGCACAGTGCCTGGCACACACTGAGTGAGTGCTCCATGAAATTATTTCTAACAGAACCTATTATTCTGTGGATACAGAAATCTCAGAGGGTATTTCCAACATGTTTTAATGCAGCTTTCTCAGTAAAATACTATTTCCTTCATAGAATCATTCTAACAATTTAGATGACAAACTTTGTGTTTTCTGGACCCAAAATATGAGTACAATTAACATATATATAATTGAAAATAGTTAGAACCTTAAAGATTTGAAAATTTTACCAAAAAGAGAATAGAAAATAAGTCTCATTTTTATATGAAAATACAGTGCTTTCTTTTCCAGCCTTCACTAATTAAAAGCTATCATTGCGGAAGCTAGGCAAGGCCACCGCCGGTCCTTACTGGACCTTAAGTAGTCCTCAAACCAATTTGAAGAAAATAATTGTCAATGCAACATTTGATCTCTAGAACATCCATTTAGAAAGTTGACATTTATCTTATTTGGTTTTAAGGAGCTTGTACCTTGAAGTTAACACATAAAAGAAAACTTGGAAAGGGCAGTCAACCAAACCAACCATCGCATGTGGTTGTACTGGGGGCGAGGGGTCCTCTTTCCATGCATCTACTAACATTTAAGCTTGACTAGAAATCATTAAATATCCATCTATGATTAGAAATACACATACCTCCTGATAAAATTCAACTGAAGAGTTTTTTTTTTTAATCTCTGAGAAGTGGTCATTTTTATAAATTCTGTTTATCCATTTTCCAATTTAACTATAAAACACTTTCTAAATAACAGTGATGAAATATTAACAGGAATTCAAGAGATGCAGTCGGATTAACGCAGCAACAAAATGGTCTCACAGATTATCTGTTACGAGAAATTATCAAAACAATTCACAGACATGACATACAACACTGAATAATATCACAAATACATATTAAAATTACAGGACAGGACACAGTAGATGAAAGATGAAGTAGACAATGTACAGTGGAGCAGTTCATTGGCAAATGCTGCCTGTACATCTACTCACAGGTCAAATACCAAGCTTTCATGCCCCAAATGATATCTACTGTGACCTCCTAGAATTCTCAGGTATGCCATGCCACTTCCTAAAGGAAGACTACATAGTAAGTGAACTAAATGTATTTGAAAGTTTTGTTACAAATATTTTCAAAAATAGATGGTTGGAGTGGGAGATGGCTAACAGGGGAGTTTTTCAAAGAACACATATTATCTAACAGAACATTACTGTTCCACTCACCAGCTGAAAACTGCTCATAAAGATCTGTTTTGGGGATTGAAAACAAGTATTTCGTTTAGGATTTTGAAAGTTAGCAAACATATACAAAACGTTTTAATACATGATACTAAACAGGACAGCATGTTTTGCTATTAGACACCCAACCAGTTAAGAAAACAAATTCCAAAGAATTGGCATTTAAAAAATTTTTTACCTTGAGAGATAAGTCTACAACAAAGGAAATCTTTATAATTAGGAACTACAATACTCTTAAATTTTATTTTCCAAAGTCTTTCTCAACTTCATTTTAATTTAAATGAGGAAATTATTATTTCTAGGTAAGCATTTGTCTTCTGCCAGTCTTACTCAAGTTGACTAGGTAAAAAGATCTAATTTTGTGCTCTAATATGAACCAGTGGAAGTGTTTTAGAGGAACCAAAGGTGGCCATTCTCAACAGTTGCTTCATTGACAAAATGCTGGAAAAGAAACTACTGATTTTTTCTATTTTTTTACTTTTTTTAGTTGGGGATGATGAGACACACAAAGGTAACTGACACTAGTAACTATTCCTAACTAAATCATCTGCTAGCTAATGCAAATGCTTATTTTAGCAACAATGTGCCATAAAGGAAGCAAATGTGTTGAACAAGAGGGACTCCATTTTGGAATAAGCCTCCCTCTTGGGAAGTATACCTAACTTGAAAACATGTTCTCAGAGCAGTACCTGATCAAGCACAAGTTTTAGACCACTTGGCCTGTGACAACGAATAGTCCCTGATAAGCTTTTGTTAACAAGTTCTAGGTTAATTTGATTTGTGATGATTTATTACCAACATTCTTTTTTTCTGAAAGCCTCTATTCTAGGGTATCAAAAGAAACCTTTTGACTGACTATGAGATTATAAACCGACATCTGTTCAACGTCATAGCAGTGGCTCACCCTGAGACACTGGCGTAAAAACATCAAGAAAGTTCAATCATTGCCATACCTCCAAACCCCTGGACCTGCAAAAACTGCCTTTATAAACCCCACAATATCTCCTTCCCAGAGGGCCTGACTTCTCGCTTTCTGTCAATTCCCTTGTGTACAAGCTATCTCCAATAATCTCCACCTGCTTTCTTTCTTTTGAGTTCAGTGTTCATTTCTATAACACTGCAATTCAAGAACCTGGTCTTTGGGAGTCTCGTAATACCTTTTCCCTTATGTGTATTTATACATGTGTATATGTATATGTATATATATGAAGAAAACAAGAAGTTTAAGTTTTTCAACAGTCTCAACTAAAGACCACCAAAAATCTTTGGCTATAAACAACAAAAGAAACATGCCTTGGTAGAAGAGATTTACTCAGTGCCCAGTCACTGGCCTGCTGCCGCCGGGTCCCTGAACTGCTAGAAGGCAAACTGTGGTGGCTTCAGGCCCTGAAAATCAAGTCAGCCCTCCCACTCGGAAGTCTCTACATTCAGGCTCAGGGAGCCCCAGATGGGCACAAGAAGTCTCCCTGTGAAAGCAGAATGATCCACACCCAACTCCATACAAGCAGCGAAGAATTTATCACCAAGAATCCCGGATCATTCACTTACCAAACATTTCCATTTTGCTACACCATATATCCAAAGGAAACTTTATTCCGTATTAGAGAAGAACTGTTTTTTACAAAAAAAAATAAAAAGAAAAACTAAAAGCTGCTTAAAAACAAGAAACAAAAAACCACAATTATCTTTCATGAATTACTTCGAAATTTCAACCATATGAAACTACTGTTTTTACAAGTCAAAAATGATCAAAGATTGGCTATTTCACATGGTTCTATCTAATAGTTTTAGGAGGGTTGAACACTTTGATGCTGTCT